TCATACTTTTCTGGACGGAATTATAGCCAGATGTATACAGGTGCAGCAGTAGATTTATCAAATAGGTTCAAGATAGTGCTATCTTTGTCACCCGAATACAATGTACGGTCATTATAACTGTATCTGGGGTGTGTTTCAGTGTAAGGGCCTGGCCACACGATTGTTGAAACCTGTTCGTTTTCAACACCTGTCAGCCCTTTTTCGACATTCGAGTTCGCAACAAAAAAGCTGCCTTGGCCACGTAGAGTGTCGAGAAGTAGGGATATCGAGGTCGTCGAAAAGGGTGAGGGTCTGGCCAGACCACTCTTGAAATGTGCAAAATGAGAATGAACTTCCCTCAAAAACATGGCCAGATGGACCCGCCACATTTTTGTCTTTTTCACATTTGGAGAGTGGTTGGGCGACACCCTGAAAAAGTAGAGATGTCCAAAATGCCCTCCTTTTCGGAGGCGAGGTATTGAGTTTCCCAAGGCCGCAGTCAGGAGTTTTCTATACATGCTAAATCCATTGGTCTGGCACATGTCGACCTGTTTTTGCTGATATAGCATAATCTTTACTGACGTCAAGCATTATCATCACCACCCTCATCAGATATCTCATCTGTTGGGGACTCAACTAGATCAAATCCTTTATTTTTCGGTATTATTATCAATTTTGCTGATTGTCTGATTGAGTTGTGAATGTGCACTTGCCTAGGTCGAGTTGATGCCAGAACGACGCTGACCAGTGCTGGGGCATCACCCGGTAACCTAAACTACTAGGAGCTTGAGGTCTTGTAGAGAGATCTGGGGATTGCTGAGGGAGGAAGGCAGTCCACTAATTTGACCAACGGTAACAATCCTGCCGACGATGGTCGGAGCTGGGGCGGGTAGCGCTGCCCTGTAACTTAGCTAAATAGAGGGTGTGAGACTGGGTAGAGGTGGGATTGATACACATCACAACATCAGATGAAAATTGCTGGAATTGGTAGAAATACCTGGAATTAGGATAGGGTCCCATGTTGTAGTTCTGAGTAGAGAACATTCTGATTAGCCTTCCTGATCACTCTTCCTTATTGGCTAGTACGTAGAGTGCGACTGCTCAGATCATGATTCTGATTAGCAGAGAATCATCAGTTTTAGCATCATCATCCTCATCATCATCATCATATGTTGGTTACTCCGGGTAGACTGTAAGGACCCCGGCCTCAATGTTCTCAAATATCAATACAAGCCTTGGGCACAAAAAAAAAAAAAAAAAAAAAAAAATGGACCTGTTTTTCAACATTTTCTCTTCGACAGTCTATATGGGGCGATGAGAAAATGTCGGAAAAGGAGTTTTCCACATTGGTGTGGCGAGGCCCTAAATGCAGCAATAATGACGTTACGTTTTATTCTGGTGATGAAGGCACTATGAGTATGCCCTCAGTCTGGCAGGGTCCATGCCTTCAGTTGTCATAATGACCATGTGTTTGCGTTCTGTACAGGTGAAGGTGGTCCTGCGCCCTTTTACTCAAAAGACGAGTAGGGCATATTCACACACGGGTAGCAATATAGCAAAATTTGCCGCCTTTGCTACTCTCAGTTTGCCATTTTCTGTGTTTTTCACACTGGTAAGGCGAGGCCCTAAATGCAGCAATAATGATGGTACGTTGTATTCTGGTGATGAAAGCACTATTAGTACGCCCTCAGTCTGGCAGCGTATAGCAAAATTTGCCGCCTTCGCTACTCTCGGTTTGCCATTTCTGTGTTTTTCACACTGGTGTGGCAAGGCCCTAAATGCAGCAATAATGATGGTACGTTGTATTCTGGTGATGAAAGCACTACGAGTACGCCCTCAGTCTGGCAGCATGCCTTCATTTGTCATAATGACCATGCATTTGCGTCCTGTACGGGTGAAGACGGTCCTGCGTCCTTTTACTCAAAAGAAGAGTAGGGCATATTCACACACGGGTAGCAGTATAGCAAAATCTGCCGCCTTTGCCCGTCCCAGTTTGCCATTTTTCTGTGTTTCGCAGTCACGGAGGGGTATCAAATTGGAAAAGGCAATGCCCCAACGCCCTGCCATTTGCGAAATTGCCCACTTGTGGGGTCACCCAGCAAAAGTAGTCGAAGGATGCCTGCAAATCTCTTTTGTGAGCTCACAGATTCGGAGGAAAAAGAAATTTGCCAACACCTCTAGATTTGGTGGTAAAATTGCTCAACCCCGAGGCCGCGGGCCTCTGACATTTGCCACACCAATTGCCAATTTGATGGGCGGGCAGGCAATGTGTGACTGCAAAACTACAGCATTTTTTTTTGTTTTGTCTAAAATGCCCTCTAGTGTGATTAGGGACGAAAATGCATTCAAATCAATAGCTAATGCTGCAAAAGTTAGGGCCTCGCTCCACTGCTCAACATTCTCCATGCGTCTAGACATTTATGTGGACCGGACCTTTCAGACTGATTCCGCACTAAGACATCCAGATACGTCAAGAAGTCTGCAGTGGAGCCAGGCCGTAATAGTGTGAGGGCATTCTCACTGAGGGCCTGATAACCTAAATTCTCTAATTTTGAGGTAGATTTCGGGTCACATTGGGTCCTCCCAGTTCCCATTTGTACTTTTTAGTGACCCAAATGTCAGCAGCCTGCGAGGCCCGGGAGTACCCTTTTTGAGACCGCCTCCAGATGTGGTCTCAAATTTCTTAAAGTTTTCGATTTTTTTCATTTTCCTGAAACGGTTTTCACTTCCGCAGTAGCGGATGCAGATCCCAGGGATCGATCCCTAGACCTCACTTACCTGTGTACAGTACCCCTGTGTGTTTGAACCCGTGACCTGCTTCTTAGGAGTCTGTTGTTGTCCCTCGTAGGCCAGCGTAGTCATCGGGTCTTGAACTGTAGTCCTGTCGAGTAGGGGTCAAGTTTGTAGCAGAGGTCGTAGCTGTAGTAGTTCTGAAGGGTCAAGGTCGTAGCTGCTACAGTCCTGAAAGGTCAAGGTCGTAGCTGCTACAGTCCTGAAAGGTCAAGGTCGTAGCTGCTACAGTGTCGAAAGGCCAAGTCCACAGACTTCCGGAAGGTCCGGAAGTGGCCTTTCAAACGTTGTCCACAGTAGACCAGAGGCAAGTGGGCAAGTGGTGAGTCTAACTTCGCTGAGTCAGCAGTACCCAGTCCCAGTCTCACTTTGTACAGTCAGCAAGTACCATGAGGGACTGTGTGCACCAAGGGCCCGGTGGAATAGGGGCAGACCAACGAGTTACAGAAGTATAAATCAAGAGGCAGCGTCCAGCTATTCATTCATTCCTGCGTAAGCCATGCGGAAGCGCTGCCTGAGCGACTTGTGCGAGGTGGTCTGCAGAGCGCCCGAAGACGAAGCGGGCTGAAGGAGATAGTTAGCCATAGCCATAGAGGGATAGCAGCCATAGCCGCCATAGCTGATAGGCGAGTGTGTGAGCACGAGAGTGTGTGTATGCGTGTGGGATATCCAGGGTGATCCAGAGTCGAGTACGTGCGAACAGTGGTGTTGGACAGTGAGACGAGAGCTGGCATGTACAGGGGCTGATGCGCCATAGCCTGTTGAAGCGAGTTTGTATCTGAACTGTGTTTTCGACTTTCATATCTTTGAGCTTTGAGTGGGCGCTGTGCGCAAGTGTGATTCACCATCTGTTTGCATGAGAGCGAAGTGGAAAGAAAGCGAGGCTGATTGCATTTGGTGTCAAAGCTGGTACCCGCTATCTCACGCGCAGTCATCGTCCGCGGTATGTTGAAGTTGGGCGCCATAGTCGAAGTGCACCATAGCTGAAGTTCCCATCACTGCAGAAGAGTCCGCCATAGCTGCGCTGGTGGAGGAAGGTGTCGCGTACCTGCAAAGAAGATAACGACGAAGAGAGAGAGAGAGAGAGAGAGAGAGAGAGAGAGAGAGAGAGAGAGAGAGAGAGAGAGAGGGGGAGGGGCCGCAAATTCGGTGCGTCCAGAGAGAGAGAGATAGAGAGAGAGCCGGAGAGAGAGAGAGAGGGGGGGGGGGGAGCGATACAAGATTGGTTGTGCCATCCAAGAAAGAAGAAGGCGGCCATAGCCGTGGAGCTCGGACACGGAGGAGAAGAAAGAAGACGAGTAAAGGAGGAAAGAAAACGAACGAGAGAGAAGGAGAGAGAGACCGAGAAGTGAGAAGAAGTCATAGTTGAGGAAGAGGAAGGAGGGACTACGAAGAGGAAGGAAGACATAGTTAGGGTGAGGAGAGAAAGAAGCGAGGAAGAAGAAAGGAAGGGGAAGGAGAAGTGAGGGTGCGAGAGAGAGGAAGTGTCGGCAGCCATAGCCGAGTTGAGGGTTGACCAAGGGGTTGACCGAAGTTGGTTTGGGCGTTGACTCGAGCGTTGACCAAGGTTGACTGGAGCGTTGACCGGGGGTTTGAACAGCATTGACCAGTGTTGACCAACGTTGACCAATTGTTGACCAAGACGTTGATTAAGACGTTGATTGGGGTTGTGGACCACGATTCTGACCAAGCTGGAGTTGGTATATTCTCGCCAAACCCTCAGCCCATCCCCTCGCCCTATGGACGTGCACTCACCTTATGGTACTTGCTGAGTTTGTCTGTCTCTTCTTTCTGCATTGAGTCTCTTTTGTCCAGGTGATAGGAACTCCGTGTATGAAGGATAGAGCCTTGTTGACCAAACCCACACGGGCTGAGTAAGGCTAAAGGTCGTGTCTGACGACTCGACTGACCCGGAGGACACGAACCCTCCCAAGAACCAATACTGACCGGTGGGCTGCTCGGTGTGGCACAGTAGGCCCAAAATTTGAGTTGTGGGCTGCACAACAGGCTGTCTAAGTTTTGATAGGACTTGCTGATCGCGTCGTCCTGTCTGCGGCGCTAAATAATTCCTGAGGAGTTACGGGGTATCTCCTTAAGTGCCTCCTGATCAGCAACAAGTCTTGTAGTGACAGCCATAGTTTAGGTCTAGGCTAGTGACCCTAGTTGACAAAATTCCATCAGGATTTTGTGGTCCTTAAGTTGAGTCCTAGGTCTAGTTAGTTAGGTGCCGAGGTCTAAGTTGTGACGTTTGAAACTGTTGTCTGATTGTGCACCTATCACCATGGTTGACCTTCGTAGTGGGAAGAGCACCATGCCTTATAGCAAGGCTCAAGAAGAGCAAACCGCCGCCATCCTAAGAGAGAGAAAGGAGAAGAAGGAGCTCATTAGACAGGCGAAGATGAAGATGATAGCAGACGAGCAGGCGACGAAGAAAAAGAAGTTAGAGGAGGAGATGAAGAGATGGAAGCAAGAGGAGGAAGAGAGAATGAAGGCTGCAGTGGAGGAAGAGATTGAAGAGGAGGAGGAGCCGAAAGGAGAGCCCCTCAAAAGAAGAGGCATGGGGGGAAGAGGAGAGAGCAGTGGCATGAAGGAAGATGACCTGTGGGTCGAGAAGAGGATATCTGAGTGGGTGGCTAATTTATCGTTAGGAGAAGATGAGGAGGCGATGCTATATATACCTCAAGAGGAGAAGGAAGCGGCGATTAGGGAGATCGAAGCAACAAGTGATGCCCTAGAGCGCCAGGCCATAGAAAATGAGAAGAGGTTGGACTGGAAGTTGCGCCTGGCGAGAGAGAAGAAGAGGAGGACGGAGGAAGCCAACCGGGTGGCTAGGGAAATGGTAAGTTTACAGACTTGTAGACAGGAAGTAGAGGCCCAACCTGATATTCAGGCCAAGTTGGACAAGATCATTGGGAGCATCGAGCTCATAGGTAGGGTCTGGACTGAGCACCATTAGTCTGTTAGGGGCCAAGACATGGCCCTCCACTCCATCCGGTCCGGTTTTAGAGAATTTGCACGGGATGTAATGACACATGTAGGGACCGAGGTTAGGAAGCTAAAGGAGGGCACAAAGAAATTTTGCGCAGGCGCCATCGAGAGCGCCAAAGTAGCGGCCGCTGCAGAGATGGAAGTGAGTCCCCGCAAAGAGCCTGTTAAGCTTAAGTTTCCTGACTTTTATGGCGGGAAGAAGGAGGAGAACTTTGATAATTGGGAGGCTAGTATTATCACCTACGTGTATCTCCAACACATTGTGCCTGAGGAACAAGTCATAGTAGCCTTCCATGCTTTAAAGGACGAAGCGGCTAGTTTTGCCATGTCCTTTGCGCGAGCAGCCGATTGTGAAAACAATATGGTTGCGTATTCTTAACTCACCCCTCTTCATAAATTCCTTAAACTCCTTAGAGAGAGATTCGCAGACGTCACACGAGGCGTCAGAGCCTCTGATAAACTGCAAACGATCCACTCACGGCAGTGGAAGAGTGCAAGGGCACTCAAAGAAGTCATGGATGATTTATTTGTCATCCCAAACCACGGGGTCACTGAGACCCAGTTAGTTAATTTATTTTATCGTGCCATGCCAGAGCCCTTACAAGGGCATTTCTTTGAGAAGACCCAACAGGCCACCATCACGTACGACACGCTAAGTAGAGAGGTGGTCGTGTTCGAGGCCAAATCCATGTCAGTGTCCACTTTCTGGCATAAGGATTTAGATAAGGGGAAAAAGTGGAAGGGTCGTACCATCTCTGGTCAGGTCAGGGCAAAGGATCACCTGATCCTTACTTTAGACGAGGGTGGTACCGATGAAGTCCCCTACAGTCAGATAGAGTGGGGGCTTGAGGAAGAAGACAGTAGTGTGGGTCAAGGGAGGACCTACGCTGTTGTCGCGGTTGGAGGGAGGCCGCAAAGTAGAGGAGGCGGCCAGGGCCAACGGGGCCAGGCCATGGGTGGTCGAGGTCCGGGCGCACAGGGGGGTGGCGGCCAAAGGAACCGCCAAGAGGGAGGTAGGGGTCAAGGTCCCCCGCCGAATCGTTCGGGGCCTAGTTGATCACCACATCGTAGAGGTGGAGGATCACCTCAACGGAGAGGAGGTTGGCACCCAGGTTGGCCACAGGGCCGACCTTGGGAAGATCTGGGCTTGGACCAGAGAGTGTGGCAGCAGCGAATGGAGCAGGGGCAATGCATCTATTGCGGTGACCCTGCCCATATTATTAAATATTGTCCAAAGTATAGAGAAGCCCAATTTGCTGCCCAGGGGTCAAAAGGCAACCGCTGGTAGGGATTGCAACTGCCCTTACCATTAGGCCATGTGGCGAAGTGTGCGCGCACCACCAGGAAACTCCCACACCACATGAGCCTATAGCAGAGGCTGCAGGCCAGTGCCTAGTTAGTTGTCTAGAGACTGTCTGTGTTAGAGTCTCTCTAGGCACTTCCCTCACAGGTCTGGCAGAAGAATTGAAGGAGAGGATGCAGACCTAGGCCAAGATGAAGGAGAGTAAAGGACAGCTTGTGTTAGTAGACTTAGAAGTTTTTAGACGTAGAGTAGGGGCCCTTATAGACACAGGGGCTACCCGTAGTTATATTAGCCGAAAAGCGCTAAAGAAGTTGAGGCTAGGTCTTAAAATCCAGAAGTTGGAAGACCCCATAGTCAGTATCCTCGCAGACAACCGCACGATGCGTGTTGAGGATTACGTCGAGGGAGTCTAGGCGCATCTTCGCCTAGAGAAAGATGGTAAGGTGGAGAAAGTCCTCCATTCTCTGACTCTCCTCGTAGAGGACAACCTCCCTTTTGATATAGTCCTAGGTATGGAGTGGGGAGAGGCAGCAGGGGCCACACTCCATTTGAAAGAGCRTGAGTGCAGGCTCCCTAGCCCATCAGGCGAAGTTAAGACTACTTGCCTGTTTCATGTGTCAGGAGTAGATAGCTTCCTAGCACATTGTTGTCTCAGTGCTCCTTCATTAGCGCGATTAGTAAGGAAGGAGCAGTTAGCAGAGTAGGTCTTCGTAGCTTACGTAAGGCCTGTCACATAGCCTATTGAGGGGAAGCCAATAGACCCGACTATTGCCCAACTGCTGGACGAGTTCAAAGATTTGGCAGAGCCGCCAACAGGAGTAGTATCGCCGCCAATCCAACATCGAATCGAAATAGAGCCTGGCAGTAGAACTCCCAAGGATGCAGTTTACAGGATGTTCCCAAGGGAGTTAGAGGAGTTGCGTAAGCAACTAGACGAACTCCTCGAAAAGGGTTGGATTAGGCCCAGTTCGTCTCCTTTCGGAGCACCAGTTTTGTTTGTCACCAAAAAGGAGGGAGAGTTGCGTATGTGCAACAATTATAGGGGTCTGAATGCAATTACAATGAAGAATGTTGAGCCGCTGCCCAGGATAGACGATCTTTTGGATCGGGTGCAGGGCTGCAAATATTTCTCAAAGATAAATCTGAAGTCCAGATATCATCAGATAGAAGTTCACCCTGATGACCAGTATAAGACTGCTTTCCGGACTAAATATGGGCACTATGAGTTCATCGTGATGCCCTTTGGACTAACCAATGCGCCAACCACGTTCCAGTGCTGCATGAATGATGTGTTCAGGTCGTGGTTAGATAGATTCGTCGTAGTTTTCAAGAGGACCCTCCAAGAGCGTCAAGGTCATTTGCGGCAGGTCTTGGAGAAGTTGAGAGAGACTAACTTCAATATCAATGCGAAGAAGTGTGAGTGGGCCAAGACACAAGTCTTGTACTTGGGCCCACGTCTTAGACGAAGGTGGAATTAAGCGTGAGGATAGCAAGATAGCGGCGATTAGAGATTGGCTGACGCCCCGCACAATGACAAAATTGCGGTCGTTCTTGGGCCTAGCTAATTATTATAAGAAGTTTGTGAGAAACTTTTCCGCCATCACCGCTCCCCTTCACAGGTTGCTCAAGAAGGATGCAATCTGGAAGTGGGACACAAATTGTACATCCGGTCTTAAAAAGTTAAAGCGGGCGTTGATATAATACCCCGTCCTCAAGGTGGCAGATCCGCCCTTGCCATTTGTCGTCACCACGGACGCAATGTTGCAGCAGGACGACGACAATGGCTATAGACCCGTAGAGTTTATGTCAGCAAGGATGCCTTTAGAGAAAGTAGCTACCTCGACTTACGAGAGAGAACTTTACACTCTCAGGTAGGCCTTAGAGCACTGGAAGCATTATCCAATCTGATGCATGCGTATACTTGGTAAGGAATGAAAGCCAACTGCATAGAATACATTCGCAGTTCCAAAGTTTGTCAAAGGAATAAGACAACTATGCGTGCCCCTCTAGGTCTTCTTCGACCCTCGTCTATTCCTGACCAGCCTGGAGATTCAGTGTCCATTGACTTCATGGATGCTAGCGTCAAAAGTAGACATGGACATAGCCAAGTTATGGTGATTGTTGATAGGTTTAGCAAATATGTTGTCGTTGTTCCCTTACCCGCAGAAGCCCGTACAGAGTTAGCAATTCAAAAGTTTTTTGACTTCTGGGTTAGTGATCATGGAATCCCATTGTCCATAGTTAGTGATAGGGACACCTAGTTCACAAGTCAGAACTGGCAGGAGTTAATGAGAGTGTACGGGTCAAAGTTGTTAATGTCATCTGGCCGTCCCCCAGAGACTAACGGTCAAACCGAGCAGATGAATAAGATCCTGCAACAATTTATGCGCATGTATATTAGACCAGATGAAGTTAACTGGGATGAGATGTTGCCCGTGGTAGCCAGTGCATATAACAATAGCGTGCACCTAGCCACTTGTCGTACTCCTAATGAACTACATAAGTCCTTTAGATCGAGTAGACCGTTTGATGGACTTAACCGGGACCAGATTCATAGGTTACCGCCCGGTACTCGGGAGTTTGCGATTCAGCACGAGAAGGAATTACCTACCGTTGTTGAGAACCTCAGGAAGGCCCATCACAGAATGATAGAACAGGCTAACAAGCACCGTCGCCCGTCGCAGTTTCAAGTAGGCGACCTAGTCTGGCTCAAGTCCAAAGAGTTTGCTCCTAAGGAAAACATTTTGCAGAAGTTACTGCCGGCGTACAGGGGACCGTGGCCAGTCCTAGAAGTTAAGGGCGGAGAAGATGGGCCGTCCTATACGATAGAGATCCCAGCACACCTCCACACCTACCCTGTGTTCCATCCGTCAAAGTTGTTGCCGTGTGTCACAAGTCAACAGTTTCCATCAAGAAGATCCATGATCCCTCTGGACATGGACGGAGGGTACGACATTGACGGCATTGTAGGTGAAGACTTGTTCCGAACAGGAGGTAGAGGTCGTCCCCAGAAACAGTATAAGGTCCGATTTTCTTATCAGGAACCAGAGGACGACCGCTGGTTTACGAGAACTGAACTTCTAGAAACAGCTCCCAACAAAGTCCGAGCCTACGAAAGAGGTAAGAAGGGTAAAGGTCCTGCCTTGGACAGAGATATTCTCGGAGGACCTCGAATTTAGGCCGGCGGGAGTGAAACGGTTTTCACCTTCACAGTAGCGGATGCAGATCCCAGGGCTCGATCCCTAGACCTCACTTACCTGTGTACAGTACCCCTGTGTGTTTGAACCCGTTACCTGCGTCTTAGGGGTCTGCTGTTGTCCGTCGTAGGCCAGTGTAGTCGTCGGGTCTTGAACTGTAGTCCTGTCAAGTAGGGGTCAAGTTTGTAGCAGAGGCCGTAGCTGTAGTAGTTCTGAAGGGTCAAGGTCGTAGCTGCTACAGTCCTGAAAGGTCAAGGTCATAGCTGCTACAGTGTCGAAAGGCCAAGTCCACAGACTTCCGGAAGGTCCGGAAGTGGCCTTTCAAACGTTGTCCACAGTAGACCAGAGGCAAGTGGGCAAGTGGTGAGTCTAACTTCGCTGAGTCAGCAGTACCCAGTCCCAGTCTCACTTTGTACAGTCAGCAAGTACCATGGGGGACTGTGTGCACCAAGGGCCCGGTGGAATAGGGGCAGACCAACGAGTTACAGAAGTATAAATCAAGAGGCGGCGTCCGGCTATTCATTCATTCCTGCGTAAGCCATGCGGAAGCGCTGCCTG